TCAGTTGCACAAAATATTCCTGTGAGCAAAGCTACATGTTGGATGGTTTTGGGGTAGTACTGCCTGTGCTTAAAACCTGCTATTGCTGAGTTTGGAGGACACAAGGATGACCCATTGTCTTTCCTTGGCTCTCACTTGGGATAATAAAAGGTCCTCTGGGACTGCAGGCTGCCCTTTTTGACACCCAGCATTTGCCCCTACCCTCATGTTTTAATGATAATTGAAAGTGCATTGAAGTAAAAATCCAGTCTAGTGTAAAGTGAAATATATTAGTACCTAGTATGTGAATTATTATATATAGGCATTTTGTATATACATAGAGCAACGTAAATGGCTATGCACTTTAAGTATAAAGGTAGGAAGAATGTTTATCATTGAAAATGCATACTATTCTGAATAAACAAATACATAATATTAGGCATCCATTAAGATTAGATCTGCTAGTGCTCTTATTTAGCTCAAAAGGAAATGGCAAGAACATTTTCCCTCACAATGTTACAACTTGAAAAATTGTTTCACTAATGGAAGATCTTAAATTTCTATCTTTTCAGTTAGAGGTAGAAAATCAGAATCTTCGCTCAATCAATCAAAACCAAAATGAAGAGATGAGAACAATGCAGTCTAAACTGCAAGGTAAATAGCACAAGTCTTTTGAAACGTGCTGTGCGTTTTGTGTAGTAATGCTTAGGTATCAATCTTGCTCACATTATGTATCTGCATAGTCTCATGGAATACCTGGATTTTAATGGGAATTTGTTCCATGGATCCTTTGACTTGAGACTTTGCTGGGACTATATGTGAATGAGCAAGGCAAGAAGTGTTTTGACCTTTATAAACGAAGCAGTTGTTTTGGAATGTATGCACTTTTTCTTAAATTAAATAAGCTTTGCCAATAATCCTATTGGGTTGAATTGTTTCATATCCTCCCTTTGACTTGCTTAAATATGTGATTTTTGGACTTTGAAACATTAAAGGATAGATGAATATCAGTGTGAAACTGGTCCACTAGTCTATTCCATGCTGAAGATGAGAGATCTGATTTATTTTTTTAAACTGCATCTCCACACATTGGAATTGTCTACAGTAGGGATGTAAATGTTTAACCAGTTAACCAATAAGCTGGTGCTTAAAATTTCCAGTTAATGGTTAAACTCCCATGGGGCTGGCAGCTCCGGGACCCAGCAGGGATGACAGGTCATGGGGGCGGTGGGGCAGGAGCCAAAGAAGACAGCAGTCTGTGACGCTAGTGAGTATGGCAGCCCATGGGGACGTGAGCCAGAAGGTCTCATTTAACCGTGTAACCTATTTAATTTGAATTGGTTACATAGTTACTATTTTTTAGGAATTTTTACATCTTTAGTCTACAGTGAACCCAGGTCCCTTTGCTGAGTTGATATATTTAATTAAGAATCCTGCAAGATGTCTGAGTATTTAATTTTTCTCCTTTTAATATGCATTACTTTGCATTTTTCAGCACTGAATTTCATTTGCCATCATGTTGCCAGTTCACCTTCCTTCTTTAATTCTTACAGAACTTCCTCCCAGTCCTCCCTGGACTTGACTAATCTAAATATTTTTGTAATCACAAATGTTGCTAGTTCACTACTCAACTCTCTTTTCAGATGATTATTTAATATATTAGATAAATCTGGACCAAGTATGAAACCTAGAGGCACCAAGATGTTAACCTTTTGCCATGAAGAAACTGATGTTTTATTGTTTCATCTCCTCCCTTTGACTTGCTTAGCCCTTAATTTTTTTGTCTCGTAACTAGTTTTGGATCCATGACAATACTTTGCCTTTTAACCATTGACTACTTAGCTTTTTTAGTAGTGTCTGGTGAAGGATATTGTAAAAGGCCTTCAGAGAATCTAAATAAATTGTGTTAACTGGTTCTTCTTTATCCACTACTTTACTGACATCCTCAGATCTCTAAGGGTACATCTACACTACAGAGCCATTTTGGGATACCAAAAGTATCCCGAAATAACTATTCCACATCTATTGAAGCAGCCCGTTATTTTGAAATAGATTTCGAAATAACGGGTGGCTTATTTTGACTCCCTGGTTAACCTTGTTCCACGAGGGCTAAGGGGCATTTCATATAGCAAGTTATTTCAAAATTTGGTGCTATATAGACAGTGCCCAATTACAAAATGAATTATTTTGAGCTTAGGATGATGTGTGGACGAACCCTAAGAGAAGAGAGGAGACACAATTTCTCTTTTCAAAAACATTCTGGTTAGATCCTATTATATCAATGATCATGGTCTTCCAGATGTTTTATTCTATTTTTAATGATTGTTTCAATCCATTGACCAGGATTAATACAAGGCTTGCTGGTTTGTATTTTCCCAGATTTCCCAGACTTTTTAAAAATCCAAGTTTTCTAGCAGAGTAGCCATTTTTAATGAAATTGCATATTTTTGCTAGCAGTTCAGCCATTTCATACTTAGGCTGATGCAGTACTGATCAATGTATAACACTCAGGCCTTGGAATTCATTTTTTAAATGATCAATTTGTTCCAGAACTTCTTCTGACATCTCAATGTCTGATAGTATTTTGTCTTTTTTACCAGAAAAGAGAAATTCTGGAGTAGGTATCATCCTTCATAGTGAAGACAGATGCAAAGAAACCGTGTGCAGTGAACACTTTATTATCCAGCACTCATGGGGAATAGGTGTTGCTGGTTAATTGAATGTGCAGGATAACAAATCTTATTGCTCTGCCCCTACCCCCTACCAGCAGATCTGGCTCCCAGCAGGGGGAAGAAGGTACTTGCTGATGACATCAGCTGGCATTGGTGGCTACCAGAAGCCCCACAATGGCTGGCTGGACAGGCACATGCACCTGAAGATGTAACGGTGGTGTGGCTGTGGGAAATGCCAGTTAAAATAGTTTCTGGTTAACAGAGTGGATAACAAAGCTTTCACTGTAGTTTCTTAATAATGTCCTTTGTCTTCCTTAATTTCTCTTTTTATCTCCTGGTGATCCAGCAAATCCACATTGTGGCTATATTTTGTACCATACGGTATCTAATTCAGTTTTGCCTTTTTCTCTAGCCATTGTTTGAGACCCATAGCTCAAAGATCTTGACAGTTCTCTCTTTGTATTTCTCTTTTCATGTTTAGTTTGAGAGTCACCATTTTTTTAAAGTTATCACTCTATGGGTACGTCTAGACTACCGGGTTTTATCGACAGAAGTTTTGTCGACAGTATCTGTCGACAAAACTTCTGTTGACAAAGAGCATCCAGACACATTGAGTTCTGTCGACAAAGCAAGCTGCTTTGTCGACAGAACCCTGTAGTCTAGACGCAACCCTACAGGCAATAACACCTTCTGTCGACAGAACTCTGTCGACAGAAGGTGTTATGCCTCGTAAAATGAGGTATACCAGCATCGACAAAACTGCTGAGTTCTGTCAACGTTATGTCGACAGAACTCAGCGGTAGTGTAGACGCTGGTATAGTTTTGTCGACAAAAGTCCACTTTTGTCGACAAAACTCAGTAGTCTAGACACACCCTATGGCTCTATCTGAGTACAAGATGTGCATTTTTAGGGAAAATCTTAGGCTGGGAGTTTGCTGATCATGTTCTACAGTGTAATTCAAGAGTAGCTGGCTATAGATGATGGAAGATAGATGGAAGTGATTTATATATAACAGCTATGTGCCTTGGTTGTGGCGGAGCTTTTCCAGGATATCTCCGATATCCCAGAAAACCCCCGTAATCTAGACATAGCCTATAGTTTTTGTCACTAAAGGTTTCCTGCTTATGATTATGGAACACTTTCCTTTTATAGAAAAGAGATATCCCACTTATTTTTAGAAAATGTCAGAAGGTTGAGCCTAAGTTTAAGTTTAGACTCATCCTTCTCAATTAGCCCAGAAAATCTGAAGAAACTTGAAAGCCATTTAAATTCTAGCATGTTTATAGTTGGTCTGCCTTCATCACATTTGGGTATCTCCTGGATTGATACATAGGTTGAACAGCAAACATAATACCCAAGGTTTTTCTGCTGTGACTTTATGGTTATTATCTTTTTTACTCTCTCTCAAAACACATCTTTCTACTGTAAAAAATTATTTTCCTCCCTCTACTTTCTAGAAGGAGAATTGTGTTTCTTAGTAAGTGGAAATTTAGTTTGGTCTAGAAAGAATTTCAAGAAGGTTTTCATTTCTAACATAAAATATTTTGTTTTATTACAGTTTTAAAAAATGATACTACCACTTAAGACTGTGTAAGAATAAAACCTATTAGCAAATACTGTCATAACTTGCTAACCCTAGATTTATGATTTGTTACATGTGCAGAAAGTAAGGGGAAGAAGTGTGTCCCTTCAACACACAAACCTGGGGAAGGCCAGCGACTAAGTAGTTTGACTTTTGGATGCTTTATGAACAGAGCAAGAAGTTCACAGCAAGCTATTAAATTTGATGAAATAAGCAAATCTTCATCTAAAGAATCAGAATTAAGTGACGGTAATAACAGATAATTTAACCCTGATCTAATTTTATTTCAGAACAAATTAGTGGAAAATTAAATTTTCTTTAAATGCATGTTCATGAACTGTTTTCTTCAAAATGGGATAAAAAGAACTAAAAAATGGTATTGTGTAGCTTTTGTTTTCACACTCATCTCTTACATGGCAGTCTGTATTATTAGAGGCTGTATCATTAGTATATACCTTAAATATTTTGCCTTGAGCATATGCTAATATATCACTACTGTAACCTTTAAAGGGGGGTTGCTTTTGAGCTTTGGAGTAGGTTATTCCAATGTAGTTTATAGTGTTAATCTATTTAAATAATAGCAGAAAACAAGATATAGCCCTGTAGTTCAAAAGAGGTTGTAAAATTAACTGTAATGAGGTGATAAACTCAGACCTGTTAGCTGACAAGAAAAAAATAATGAAATCCATCTAAGTATATTTTAATCCATTTTTAAATTGATACATATTACTTGATTTAAGACTTCATTTTATTAATTTTTCAGCCTAGGCTCTTAATTAACTTACTCTAGGTAGGAAGAGCATCTAACAATGTTAAGATCTCAGTCTTCCCATTTTATCTGCTGTGGCACACTTTCTGAGTTTGCAGAATTCCACAAGTTTTCTGGGCTTTGCATAGGTGTAGGGCTCTACTCCTTTGGTTTCAACTGCAAGATTAGGGTGTAACTTCCAAAGACTTCTTTTTAAAGTTCATGAAGGAAGATGTTAAACTGAATAATCACTAAGGATGTAAAAATTTTTTAAAAACATTACCCATGTAACTGATAGAAATTCAATCAGTTACACAGTTAAACACTTTACAGACTGCTGGCCCTACAGATTTCCAGTGGCTGCTGGCCATGCAGGCTCCTGGGGCGGGCTGGTGCTGCCAAACTTGTAGGCTTCCTGCAGTGGCCAGGAGTTTAACCAATAAGGTTAACTGATAAGCTAATGCTTATCGGTTAACCAGTTATCTGGTTAACTCTGACATCCTTCTAAGTTTTTGCATCACTTTTTTGATACATTTTCTATATGTTAGCCCTGCTGTCCTAATGCCGATTTTAAACCTAAGGTCAGCAAGATAAACTCTCCTTATTGTAATTAAAATGTGTTAGGTAATGTCTTCCCCTGAATACTAGTCAAAGAAGCAGGCGCGTATGACAGGCCCTACCACTTCTACCTCTACCACCATTTCCTGCAACTGCATCATCTCAAATCCAGGCTGTGCCTATATGTTAGCCCTGCTGTCCTAATGCCGATTTTAAACCTAAGGTCAGCAAGATAAACTCTCCTTATTGTAATTAAAATGTGTTAGGTAATGTCTTCCCCTGAATACTAGTCAAAGAAGCAGGCGCGTATGACAGGCCCTACCACTTCTACCTCTACCACCATTTCCTGCAACTGCATCATCTCAAATCCAGGCTGTGCCT